GATAATATATTCCCGATAAAAGTGTTGTCGCATTTTTAAAATCCCCTAAAATGTCGTACAATCCTTCAATCACGGCCCAATCGAAAATTCCAATAGTGTTTTGAGGATAATGGTTTTTATAAAAAGAAAAAATATATTTTTTTTGTTTTTATAACGTGAGGGTTGTCGAAGTGTCCAAAAGGCAAACCGACTTGAATGACACATTGTGTAGTCATTTGTCGGTTTAAATCGGCATCGTAGTTCCATATTTGACCTTGTGTGTCAAGTATCGGTTGGCTCGAATCACCCCCCGACCTCAACCCCGGGCACGATATTCCGGTGTGCCTCCTTAACGTAGAATTTCCTTCCGCCGTAAGAAGAGTTTGACACATTTTGCATTGTGCCTTTCGTTTTCCGGTTGTGAGAACCACCAAGTTGTAGTGATTCCAAATCTCGGACTTTCGTCCGTGTTCGGCGAGAACTTGCGCAATTTGTTCGTTTGAGGGTTGTTCACCGGCCATTTTGTAAATCGCAAGTAAAAGAGAGAAATAAACGAGAATTATGAAGTGGAAACGAGAAATTAATACGTAACGAATTCAAAAAATGAAGCGAAAAACCGAGAATTGATAGCGTTTTTTGCGTTTTTGAAGATGAGATGAGTTGGTAACAAACTAAGGAACTCCCATCTCTATTTATACATGTTTTGGTAGCTAGAAAGATGAAAAAAACGGTCATAAGAAGGCTCCAACGGCTAGTTTGACTAAATCTAACGGCTCATTTGACTTCCAACGGCTAGTTTGACTATTTTGACTTTTGTTGACTTTTTCGTTGACCTGGCCAGGCCGGGCCCTTAACCGGTTCCGGTCCAAGAATTCTCTAAAAAGTTCAACCGGTTCGTAACCGCCGGTCCACAACCGGTTACTACCGGTCCCGGTTCGGTTACGGGCTTCAGGCGGTCTCGGTTACGGGCCTCCGTCAGTTACGGGCCGGGCCGGTTACGGATGGCCATCTCTAGTATATATTGTATGATCATATGTCACGCAAGATGTGAGAATCATGTGTTTTTAAGTTTGTCAAATTCCGATCAGATATCACGCAACGTGAGATATTCGAAGCATATCCATCTGGCAATCGAACTGATTTTAAAAAATCAAGAAAACATATCTTCTCTTCTTGAGTGAACGTATAGCTTGCATGAGGTTTCTTTAGAACACCAGAACTTGACTTTTGTAACCATAAATCTTTTCGGATGCCTAGATCCTCCAAATCCATCCTTGCTTTGATCGTATCTTTAGATTTTTTTYYGGTCCCTAACAAGGTATAAATGATATTATCACACACATTTTTCTCAATGTGCATGACATCCAAGTTGTGTCGTAGTTTTAACTTTGACCAATATTCTAGTTCGAAGAAAATACTACGAGTTGACCAATTACGCAAAGGATGCAACTCATGAAATTACCTTTTCGTACCAGAATTGTTTGGTGCTTTCCCAGGAGTCATCAAAGGTAACCGGTCTAGTAGCTGAATGATCTCATCACCAGATTTCGGCCTACTTGGTTCATTAAATTCAACGGAACCATCAAATTCTTTACTTCTTCGCCATCGATGACTAGAAGGTAGCCACTTTCTCGACCCCATATAACATGTTTTGCTTCTGATACTACGAAAATGCGTGTTTCCTAAACATTCGGGGCATGCCAAGTGTCCTTTTGTGGAGTAACCAGACAAGTAAGCATATGCAGGAAAGTCTGATGTTGTCCACAATACAACAGCTTTAAGATTGAACATACCTCCACTAGTAGCATCATATGTTGTTACTCCACTCCACAAAGTCTTTAACTCGTCAATTAATGGCCGCATGAAAATGTCAAAATCTTTACCTGGGGATTTTGGACCTGGAATTAGCAAACACATCATATAACTGGTTTGATGCATCATCTTCCAAGGAGGAAGATTCAATGCTTTTACCATTACAGGCCAAGTACTATATGATGCACTCATATTCCCAAAGGGGTTGAAGCCATCTGATGTCAAACCCAGCCTTACATTCCTTGAATCTGTCGCAAAAGCAGGATAAGTCAAGTCAAAGTCTTTCCAAGCCTCACCACCAGCTGGATGACGTAGCACACCATCTTCTGGCTTTCGTTTCTCGGCATGCCATCTCATATCTTCAGAAGTATGACGTGAACTATAAAGCCGTTGAAGTCTAGGTGTTAATGGAAAATATCTCATCCTCTTAAAAGGAACCTTGTTCCTCTTGTATCGAGGATGATTACATACAGGACATGCAAGTAGGTTAGCATGTTCTCCATAAAACAGAGCACAATCATGATTACAAACATCAATATTATGATATCCCAACCCAATCTCCATCAAGATTTTGTTCATCTCATAGTATGATGTCGRAAGATTGTGGCCCGATGGGAGAATACTTTGTTCAAACTGTAACAACATGTTTACCGATTTATCAGACCACTTGTTCAAGACTTTGATGTGCATCAACTTCACTACATATTGTAGTAATGTCAGATTCCCTGATCCTGGATACAGTTCCTTGTTAAGTTGCTCAATCAACTTGTCAAAACGACCACGGTTAACATCAGACTTATCCTTAACGTCATTTTCAGTTGAACGGTCAACATTAAAGAACATGCGTCCTTCTTCATCCATAATAGTGTCCCTCAAAGTATCGTCATCTTCGTCATTATTCGATGAATCTTCAAAGTGGTCGTGTTCTTCTTCGTCACTAAGAGATTCACCATGATGGWTCCACCTTTGGTATGTTGCAAGCATACCATATTGTAGGATATGAGCTCGAATCATGGGGAGTCGTTGTAGCCATGTGTTTTCACATCTATTACAAGGACATAACGTCCTTCCATCTACACCCAAGTGACGTCTAGCAGTAGCTAGAAAATTGTTCAACCCAAGTGTGTACTCTTGACTTATGCGATTTCTAGTTACTATCCAAGCTCGATCGTTAGAATCCATTGACTTTGAAGRAGAAATTAGGTTGTTCTGAAAAGATTACGTAGAAGTGTWAGATGTAACACTTTTTAAAATTTAAGGAAAGCTTTTAGCTTTATGTTGGGTATCCCGCATAGCAGGTGATTAATTATTGAATTCATGGTGCTCAAATTATGCATTACTAAAATAATGCATAAATTGATTCTTTCAAATAATTAAATTATAAATATATTGGAGTTTATTTCATATTTCTGATTTCATTATATTCTGAGCATTGGATGCAATGTAGATATGGGGATAATTATATCTAAGAATTGAATTATTTCTTTCTTAAACACATTAACACACCTGTTTTTTATATTCACATTAACTAAAAGAAACCCATCAAATATTAGACCAAAAACTAGAAAACCTAAAGCCCCAAACACAAAAACAGCCTAGAAAAGAATTGTACATTTTCAGTGGAACCATCATTAAAGCACAAATTAATGAGTTAACATGTGCAACCATGGTTTCTTTTGGGTTCATTTCGACTTAACCTGTCTATCCTAGTAGATTTATAGATATTATTTTGGTCAACTTACAATGTGCATCAGAAAACAATTGCATCATAGACAGCATCAGACTGAAATTGGAGAGTATCATTTAGATGCTCAAATAAAAAATGTATGCTTCTAGAGATTAGAAAAAGCTAATTAGGCATATGTATACTTTCTCAAAAGTCACCTTTAAAAGTAATCAAATGATTACTTTCTCAAAAGTCACCAATCACAAAGGCATATGGTRCAATTCATGTGGCAAATTAAAATCTGCTTAAATTGAAGCTTACCAAACGCTGAATTAGGAAATGAACACTGAATTGACAAGAATCAACAATGTTAACTGTCATCTAGCTACAAGTTAAACTGAAATATATATGTGTTCATTGACTATTGACACCATAACTCAAGAACCTGTTGTAATGCATACATCTAAAACACCACCATAAACTTGCTGGAAGAAACTTATGACTACATCTAAAACACCACCAGAAAGAAAAAAGAGGATTGCAAACTAGTCAGGTGTCATCAGGATTGCATACAAGTCTTCTTATGTGGAGTGAAGTGTGTTTTCTTCAAGTGCTGGATGCCTACTGATGTAAAGCCAAATTGGGAGGGAAGTTTRTGATTCTCCCCTGTTTTACATTTAGGATGATGTCCTAAGGATTTTTCTACCATTTTCTTTTAGATACACTTTCAAATATATAATCACAATAGATTTTATATTTGGCTGATCATGGTTATCGAGCAGTGGCTCCAGACCTCCGTGGCTATGGTGACACAACCGGTGCGATACCTCTAATTACAGACTAACAAATTAAAGGCCATGATGGATACCTCTAATCCRTAACCATTCAGCTTCTATTGTTCAACACACACAAATATGTTATTGTAGCAGAACATAATTGATAGCTAAATAGATTATAATTAATCAGTAAAACATGAATCAACAAGAACCCTAGCAGATTCATATCATGTTATTTATTGAAGAATCGCTAAATAGGCGTACCTGTTGTTCKAGGAATTGATGCAGAGAAGAGAAACCAATTCGATGATAGACGATTTAATCGATCAATTGGAGAGTAGACTTTGTCAATTGGAGAGTACTTTGGGGATTTAATCGATTCAATGATAGACAAGAGGAAGCGATGTCACGAGAGGAAGCGATGTCACGAGAGGAAGCGATGAAGCTTATGGTGATTTCATTAATGAGAGGCTTCTGGTGATTTCACTTCACATAGCGATGAAGCGATGAAGAAGAAACCATTTTTTGTCAAAGACCTTCCAGCCTAGTGGTAAAGGCTTGGGCATGGCATAGTCATGAACCCAAGTTCGAACCTTGGGAGGAGAGTGTTGGCGACATTTAAGTGGGGCCATGTTTAGCCTCCAAATTTGCCGGGGATTAGTCGGGCTTTGGCCCGGACACCCTTA